TTGAAATGATGGCAGCCCTTCTTCTGAAGAAGCCACACAATAATGCCCAGTCCATGAATTATCTCAGGCCTGACGCCACGTTACGCTCTGGGGCATTTTGTCTCATCTGTAAAACATGATCTCATTCTCAGGAAAGTATGAAGTGTTTGTGTCTGGGTTAAGGTTTGGGTCGACTGTTGACTGTTCACTTTTACAAAAATGCATTGATAATAATAATAATAATAATAATAATAATGTATGTGTGGGACTGGCCATAAATAAAAACAGAAGGATATTCAGATGTTTAGAATCAGTATTTAACGAGGATGTTCCCTTTGAATTCTCTGGCCTGATACGAGGGTCACGGTTACCGGGGCAACGGTAAACCCAGGTAAAACTTTAGACTAAAACATTATCTCAGTGTGATGGATACAGGTGTGTGATGGATACAGGTGTCTGATGGATACAGGTGTGTGATGGATACAGGTGTGTGATGGATACAGGTGTGTGATGGATACAGGTGTGTGATGGATACAGGTGTGTGATGGATACAGGTGTGTGATGGATACAGGTGTGTGATGGATACAGGTGTGTGATGGATACAGGTGTGTGATGGATACAGGTGTGTGATGGATACAGGTGTGTGATGGATACAGGTGTGTGAGGGATACAGGTGTGTGATGGATACAGGTGTGTGATGGATACAGGTGTGTGATGGATACAGGTGTGTGTGATGGATACAGGTGTGTGATGGATACAGGTGTGTGTGATGGATACAGGTGTGTGATGAATACAGGTGTGTGTGATGATACAGGTGTGTGATGAATACAGGTGTGTGTGATGGATACAGGTGTGTGATGGATACAGGTGTGTGTGATGGATACAGGTGTGTGATGGATACAGGTGTGTGATGGATAAGGGTGTGTGATGGATACAGGTGTGTGATGGATACAGGTGTGTGTGATGGATACAGGTCTGTGTGATGGATACAGGTGTGTGATGGATACAGGTGTGTGATGGATACAGGTGTGTGATGGATACAGGTGTGTGTGATGGATACAGGTGTGTGATGGATACAGGTGTGTGATGGATACAGGTGTGTGAGGGATACAGGTGTGTGAGGGATACAGGTGTGTGATGGATACAGGTGTGTGTTATGGATACAGGTGTGTGATGGATACAGGTGTGTGTGATGGATACAGGTGTCTGATGGATACAGGTGTGTGATGGATACAGGTGTGTGTTATGGATACAGGTGTGTGATGGATACAGGTGTCTGATGGATACAGGTGTCTGATGGATACAGGTGTGTGATGGACACAGGTGTGTGATGGACACAGGTGTGTGATGGATACAGGTGTGTGATGGATACAGGTGTGTGTGATGGATACAGGTGTCTGATGGATACAGGTGTCTGATGGACACAGGTGTGTGATGGACACAGGTGTCTGATGGATACAGGTGTGTGATGGATACAGGTGTGTGTGATTGATACAGGTGTGTGATGGATACAGGTGTCTGATGGATACAGGTGTCTGATGGACACAGGTGTGTGATGGATACAGGTGTGTGATGGATACAGGTGTGTGATGGACACAGGTGTCTGATAGATACAGGTGTGTGATGGATACAGGTGTGTGATGGACACAGGTGTCTGATAGATACAGGTGTCTGATGGATACAGGTGTGTGATGGATGTTAAATGTTGTGTGTTTAGTCTCGGATCATTAAGAGCAGCTGAAAGATGAAGGGTCAGACTTGTACCTGAGCACACCAGTTCCATTCCTGTGGAGGAGGTGGAGTCTTCCTTTGAGATACACTCTCTCAGCGAGGAGCTCCATGGACAGTACGGTGAGACCTCCCACACCGGGCTCTTTGGAAAGTCCCCTCTCTCCGTCTGCTTCACTGCAGAGCCACAGCCCAGGTCTCTGCAGGCGACAGCTGTGTTCCTCGGAGTCCATCTTTCAGAGTCCGACTTCACACGTCTCCAGTCTCCTCTGTGTCTGAGCTCCAGGATCCCATCACAGCGACCGGACCCTCCCACCAGCCTGACAGGCTCTGGACACAAGAGGGAGGAGAGTTAAGCCACGCCCCCTCACCTGAGTCCCGCCCCCTCACCTGAGCCCCGCCCTCTCACCTGAGCAGGTGATGTTCACACTGGGTCCAGAGGAGCAGGTCTTGGGTCTGGAGCGGGGACAGTCCATCAGAGCAGACTCATGGCCCTCACAGTGGAACATCTGCCCCAGAGGAGAGAGCACCCCCTGGAGGACAGAAGGAGCCCCGCAGTCCAGCTCCCTGCACAGCACCTCTGCTCCCCTCAGGTCCAAGGCCCCTTCACAGACCGAGGTCCAGGACTGGTCCCAGATCTGCAGTGATCCAGAGCAGAGACCAGAGCCTCCAACCAGCCGCACAGACTCTGAGACACAGAGGGCCGGACTTTGGAGAATGGACTCACTCATTTCAACAACTCTCACTTAATATAAAAGCCAGCGCACAAATGTATCAGAGATGAGACCTAAAGTGTGACCTCTGCTTTCACAAACTCTGATCCCAAGACCGAGACAAGTCCAGTCCAAATCTCTGGACCCGCAGGTCCAAGTCTCATAGTTATATACTGATTGAAATTATGGCAGCCCTTCTTCTGAAGAAGCCACACAATAATGCCCAGTCCATGAATTATCTCAGGCCTGATGCCACGTTACGCTCTGGGGCATTTTGTCTCATCTGTAAAACATGATCTCATTCTCAGGAAATTATGAAGTGTTTGTGTCTGGGTCAAGGTTTGGGTCGACTGTTGACTGTTAACTTTTACAAAAATGCATTCATAATAATATTAATAATAATAATAATAATAATTTATGTGTGGGACTGGCCAAAAATAAAAACAGAGGGATATTCAGAGGTTTAGAATCAGTATTTAACGAGGATGGTCCCTTTGAATTCTCTGGCCTGATACGAGGGTCACGGTTACCGGGGCAACGGTAAACCCAGGTAAAACCTTTGACTAAAACATTTACTGTCTTCATTTTTAAAAAGGATATTATCTCAGTGTGATGGATACAGGTGTGTGATGGATACAGGTGTGTGATGGATACAGGTGTGTGTGATGGATACAGGTGTATTATAATTCTAACTGGAATTGTACTTTTGTACTGCGATTACTAAAAAGCATGATTTTGGTCTTTTTTAGGTTAAGGGACAGTTTGTTATTATGAAACCATAATTTTAGTCTGTTCATCTCCACTGTTCCAAGAGATAGAAGTTGCTCCAAGTGGTCTCCTGAACATGTGATGGTGTGTCATCGGCAAAGACTCAGTGAGGAGCAGGAGGATCAGTGAGGAGCAGGAGGAGCAGGAGGATCAGTGAGGAGCAGGAGGATCATGAGGATCATGAGGATCATGAGGATCAGGAGGAGCAGGAGGATCAGTGAGGAGCAGGAGGATCATGAGGATCAGTGAGGTGCAGGAGGAGCAGGAGGATCAGTGAGGAGCAGGAGGATCAGTGAGGAGCAGGAGGATCAGTGAGGAGCAGGAGGATCATGAGGATCAGTGAGGAGCAGGAGGATCAGTGAGAAGCAGGAGGATCAGTGAGGAGCAGGAGGATCAGTGAGGATCAGTGAGGAGCAGGAGGAGCAGGAGGATCAGTGAGGAGCAGGAGGAGCAGGAGGATCAGTGAGGAGCAGGAGGATCAGTGAGGAGCAGGAGGAGTAGGAGGATCAGTGAGGAGCAGGAGGATCATGAGGATCAGTGAGGAGCAGGAGGAGCAGGAGGATCAGTGAGGAGCAGGAGGATCATGAGGATCAGTGAGGAGCAGGAGGAACAGGAGGATCAGTGAGGAGTAGGAGGATCAGTGAGGAGCAGGAGGAGCAGTGAGGAGCAGGAGGATCAGTGAGGATCAGTGAGGAGCAGGAGGATCAGTGAGAAGCAGGAGGATCAGTGAGGAGCAGGAGGATCAGTGAGGAGCAGGAGGATCAGTGAGGAGCAGGAGGATCAGTGAGGAGCAGGAGGATCAGTGAGGAGCAGGAGGAGCAGGAGGATCAGTGAGGAGCAGGAGGAGCAGGAGGATCAGTGAGGAGCAGGAGGATCATGAGGACCAGTGAGGAGCAGGAGGATCAGTGAGGAGCAGGAGGATCAGTGAGGAGCAGGAGGATCATGAGGATCAGTGAGGAGCAGGAGGAGCAGGAGGATCAGTGAGGAGTAGGAGGATCAGTGAGGAGCAGGAGGATCAGTGAGGATCAGTGAGGAGCAGGAGGATCAGTGAGGAGCAGGAGGATCAGTGAGGAGCAGGGGGATCAGTGAGGAGCAGGAGGAGCAGGAGGATCAGTGAGGAGCAGGAGGAGCAGGAGGATCAGTGAGGAGCAGGAGGATCAGGAGGATCAGTGAGGAGCAGGAGGAGCAGGAGGATCAGTGAGGAGTAGGAGGATCAGTGAGGAGCAGGAGGATCAGTGAGGATCAGTGAGGAGCAGGAGGATCAGTGAGGAGCAGGAGGATCAGTGAGGAGCAGGAGGATCAGTGAGGATCAGTGAGGAGCAGGAGGATCAGTCAGGAGCAGGAGGATCAGTGAGGAGCAGGAGGATCAGTGAGGAGCAGGAGGATCATGAGGATCAGTGAGGAGCAGGAGGAGCAGGAGGATCAGTGAGGAGTAGGAGGATCAGTGAGGAGTAGGAGGATCAGTGAGGAGCCAGGAGGATCAGTGAGGAGCAGGAGGATCAGTGAGGAGCAGGAGGATCAGTGAGGAGCAGGAGGAGCAGGAGGATCAGTGAGGAACAGGAGGATCATGAGGATCAGTGAGGAGCAGGAGGATCAGTGAGGAGCAGGAGGAGCAGGAGGATCAGTGAGGAGCAGGAGGATCATGAGGATCAGTGAGGAGCAGGAGGAGCAGGAGGATCAGTGAGGAGTAGGAGGATCAGTGAGGAGTAGGAGGATCAGTGAGGAGCAGGAGGATCAGTGAGGAGCAGGAGGATCAGTGAGGAGCAGGAGGAGCAGGAGGATCAGTGAGGAGCAGGAGGATCAGCGAGGAGCAGGTGGATCAGCGAGGAGCAGGAGGATCAGCGAGGAGGAGGAGGATCAGTGAGGAGCAGGAGGATCAGTGAGGAGCAGGAGGATCAGTGAGGAGCAGGAGGAGCAGGAGGATCATGAGGATCATGAGGATCATGAGCATCATGTGGATCAGTGAGGAGCAGGAGGATCAGTGAGGAGCAGGAGGAGCAGGAGGATCAGTGAGGAGCAGGAGGATCATGAGGATCAGTGAGGAGCAGGAGGATCAGTGAGGAGCAGGAGGAGCAGGAGGATCAGTGAGGAGCAGGAGGATCATGAGGATCAGTGAGGAGCAGGAGGATCAGTGAGGATCAGTGAGGAGCAGGAGGATCAGTGAGGAGCAGGAGGATCAGTGAGGATCAGGAGGAGCAGTCAGGAGCAGGAGGATCAGTGAGGAGCAGGAGGATCAGTGAGGAGCAGGAGGATCAGTGAGGAGCAGGAGGAGCAGGAGGATCAGTGAGGAACAGGAGGATCATGAGGATCAGTGAGGAGCAGGAGGATCAGTGAGGAGCAGGAGGATCATGAGGATCAGTGAGGAGCAGGAGGATCACTGAGGAGCAGGAGGAGCAGGAGGATCAGTGAGGAGCAGGAGGATCATGAGGATCAGTGAGGAGCAGGAGGAGCAGGAGGATCAGTGAGGAGTAGGAGGATCAGTGAGTAGCAGGAGGATCAGTGAGGAGCAGGAGGACAAGTGAGGATCAGTGAGGAGCAGGAGGAGCAGGCGGATCAGTGAGGAGCAGGAGGAGCAGGAGGAGCAGGAGGATCAGTGAGGAGCAGGAGGATCAGTGAGGAGCAGGAGGATCAGTGAGGAGCAGGAGGAGCAGGAGGATCAGTGAGGAGCAGGAGGATCATGAGGATCAGTGAGGAGCAGGAGGAGCAGGAGGATCAGTGAGGAGCAGGAGGATCATGAGGAGCAGTGAGGAGCAGGAGGAGCAGGAGGATCAGTGAGGAGCAGGAGGATCATGAGGATCAGTGAGGAGCAGGAGGAGCAGGAGGATCAGTGAGGAGTAGGAGGATCAGTGAGGAGTAGGAGGATCAGTGAGGAGCAGGAGGATCAGGGAGGAGCAGGAGGATCAGTGAGGAGCAGGAGGATCAGTGAGGAGCAGGAGGACCAGGAGGACAGGAGGACAGGAGGATCAGTGAGGAGCAGGAGGAGCAGGAGGATCAGTGAGGAGCAGGAGGATCATGAGGATCAGTGAGGAGCAGGAGGAGCAGGGATCAGAGGAGAGGAGGATCAGTAGGAGTAGGAGATCAGGAGGAGCAGTGAGGAGAGGAGGATCAGTGAGGAGCAGGAGGATCAGTGAGGAGCAGGAGGATCAGTGAGGAGCAGGAGGAGCAGGAGGATCAGTGAGGAGCAGGAGGATCAGCGAGGAGCAGGAGGATCAGCGAGGAGCAGGAGGATCAGCGAGGAGCAGGAGGATCAGTGAGGAGCAGGAGGAGCAGGAGGATCAGTGAGGAGCAGGAGGATCAGTGAGGAGCAGGAGGAGCAGGAGGATCATGAGGATCATGATTATCATGTGGATCAGTGAGGAGCAGGAGGATCAGTGAGGAGCAGGAGGAGCAGGAGGATCAGTGAGGAGCAGGAGGATCATGAGGATCATTGAGGAGCAGCAGGATCAGTGAGGAGCAGGAGGAGCAGGAGGATCATGAGGATCAGTGAGGAGCAGGAGGATCAGTGAGGATCAGTGAGGAGCAGGAGGATCAGTGAGGAGCAGGAGGATCAGTGAGGAGCAGGAGGAGCAGTCAGGAGCAGGAGGATCAGTGAGGAGCAGGAGGATCAGTGAGGAGCAGGAGGATCAGTGAGGAGCAGGAGGATCAGTGAGGAGCAGGAGGAGCAGGAGGATCAGTGAGGAACAGGAGGATCAGGAGGATCAGTGAGGAGCAGGAGGATCAGTGAGGAGCAGGAGGAGCAGGAGGAGCAGGAGGATCAGTGAGGAGCAGGAGGATCATGAGGAGCAGGAGGATCAGTGAGGAGAGCAGGAGGATCATGAGGATCAGTGAGGAGCAGGAGGAGCAGGAGGAGCAGGAGGATCAGTGAGGAGTAGGAGGATCAGTGAGTAGCAGGAGGATCAGTGAGGAGCAGGAGGATCAGTGAGGATCAGTGAGGAGCAGGAGGAGCAGGGGATCAGTGAGGACAGGAGGAGCAGGAGGACAGGAGGATCAGTGAGGAGCAGGAGGATCAGTGAGGAGCAGGAGGATCAGTGAGGAGCAGGAGGAGCAGGAGGATCAGTGAGGAGCAGGAGGATCATGAGGATCAGTGAGGAGCAGGAGGAGCAGGAGGATCAGTGAGGAGCAGGAGGATCAGTGAGGAGCAGGAGGAGCAGGAGGATCAGTGAGGAGCAGGAGGATCATGAGGATCAGTGAGGAGCAGGAGGATCAGTGAGGAGCAAGGAGGATCATGAGGACAGTGAGGAGCAGGAGGATCAGTGAGGAGCAGGAGGATCAGGAGGAGCAGTGAGGAGCAGGAGGATCAGGAGGAGCAGTGAGGACAGGAGGAGCAGGAGGATCAGTGAGGATCAGTGAGGAGCAGGAGGAGCAGGAGGATCAGTGAGGAGCAGGAGGAGGACAGGAGGAGCAGGAGGATCAGTGAGGAGCAGGAGGATCAGTGAGGAGCAGGAGGAGCAGGAGGATCAGTGAGGAGCAGGAGGATCAGTGAGGAGCAGAGGAGGAGCAGGAGGATCAGTGAGGAGCAGGAGGATCAGTGAGGAGCAGGAGGAGCAGGAGGACAGGAGGAGGAGGATCAGTGAGGAGCAGGAGGATCAGTGAGGATCAGGAGGAGCAGGAGGATCAGTGAGGAGCAGGAGGATCAGTGAGGAGCAGGAGGATCAGTGAGGAGCAGGAGGATCAGTGAGGAGCAGGAGGATCAGTGAGGAGCAGGATCAGTAGAGCAGGAGGATCAGTGAGGAGCAGGAGGACAGGAGGATCAGTGAGGAGCAGGAGGATCAGTGAGGAGCAGTGAGGAGCAGGAGGATCAGTGAGGAGCAGGAGGATCAGTGAGGAGCAGGAGGAGCAGGAGGATCAGTGAGGAGCAGGAGGAGCAGGAGGATCATGAGGATCAGTGAGGAGCAGGAGGATCAGTGAGGAGCAGGAGGAGCAGGAGGATCAGTGAGGAGCAGGAGGATCAGTGAGGAGCAGGAGGATCAGTGAGGAGCAGGAGGATCAGTGAGAGGAGCAGGAGGAGCAGGAGGATCAGTGAGGAGCAGGAGGATCAGTGAGGAGCAGGAGGATCAGGAGGGCAGAGGACAGGAGGAGCAGGAGGATCAGGAGGAAGCAGTGAGGAGCAGGAGGAGCAGGAGGATCAGTGAGGAGCAGGAGGATCAGGAGGAGCAGGAGGACAGGAGGAGCAGGAGGATCAGTGAGGAGCAGGAGGATCAGGAGGAGCAGGAGGATCAGTGAGGAGCAGGAGGAGCAGGAGGATCAGTGAGGAGCAGGAGGAGGACAGGAGGAGCAGGAGGATCAGTGAGGAGCAGGAGGATCATGAGGAGCAGGAGGAGCAGGAGGATCAGTGAGGAGCAGGAGGATCAGTGAGGAGCAGGAGGATCAGTGAGGAGGGAGGACAGGAGGAGCAGGAGGATCAGTGAGGAGCAGGAGGATCAGTGAGGAGCAGGAGGATCAGTGAGGAGCAGGAGGAGCAGGAGGATCAGTGAGGAGCAGGAGGATCAGTGAGGAGCAGGAGGAGCAGTGAGGAGCAGGAGGATCAGGAGGATCAGTGAGGAGCAGGAGGATCAGGAGGAGCAGGAGGAGCAGGAGGATCAGTGAGGAGCAGGAGGATCAGTGAGGAGCAGGAGGATCAGTGAGGAGCAGGAGGATCAGTGAGGATCAGTGAGGAGCAGGAGGAGCAGGAGGATCAGTGAGGAGCAGGAGGATCATGAGGATCAGTGAGGAGCAGGAGGATCAGTGAGGAGCAGGAGGATCAGTGAGGATCAGGAGGATCAGTGAGGAGCAGGAGGATCAGTGAGGAGCAGGAGGATCAGTGAGGAGCAGGAGGAGCAGGAGGATCAGTGAGGAGCAGGAGGAGCAGTGAGGAGCAGGAGGAGCAGTGAGGAGCAGGAGGAGCAGTGAGGAGCAGGAGGATCAGTGAGGAGCAGGAGGAGCAGGAGGATCAGTGAGGAGCAGGAGGATCAGTGAGGGCAGGAGGATCAGTGAGGAGCGTGAGGAGCAGGAGGAGCAGGAGGAGCAGTGAGGAGCAGGAGATCAGTGAGGAGCAGGAGGAGCAGTGAGGAGCAGGAGGAGCAGTGAGGAGCAGGAGGAGCAGGAGGATCAGTGAGGAGCAGGAGGATCAGTGAGGAGCAGGAGGAGCAGTGAGGAGCAGGAGGATCAGTGAGGAGCAGGAGGAGCAGGAGGATCAGGAGGATCAGTGAGGAGCAGGAGGAGCAGTGAGGAGCAGGAGGATCAGTGAGGAGCAGGAGGATCAGTGAGGAGCAGGAGGATCATTGAGGAGCAGGAGGATCAGTAGGAGCAGGAGGAGCAGTGAGGAGCAGGAGGATCAGTGAGGAGCAGGAGGAGCAGGAGGATCAGGAGGATCAGTGAGGAGCAGGAGGATCAGTGAGGAGCAGGAGGATCAGTGAGGAGCAGGAGGAGCAGTGAGGATCAGTGAGGAGCAGGAGGATCAGTGAGGAGAAGGAGGAGCAGTGAGGAGCAGCAGGAGCAGTGAGGAGCAGGAGGAGCAGGAGGATCAGTGAGGAGCAGGATGATCAGTGAGGAGCAGGAGGATCAGTGAGGAGCAGGAGGAGCAGTGAGGAGCAGGAGGAGCAGGAGGATCAGTGAGGAGCAGGAGGATCAGTGAGGAGCAGGAGGAGCAGTGAGGGGCAGGAGGATCAGTGAGGATCAGTGAGGAGCAGGAGGATCAGTGAGGAGCAGGAGGAGCAGGAGGATCAGGAGGATCAGTGAGGAGCAGGAGGAGCAGGAGGATCAGTGAGGAGCAGGAGGAGCAGGAGGATCAGGAGGATCAGTGAGGAGCAGGAGGATCAGTGAGGAGCAGGAGGAGCAGTGAGGATCAGTGAGGAGCAGGAGGATCAGTGAGGAGCAGGAGGAGCAGTGAGGAGCAGGAGGAGCAGTGAGGAGCAGGAGGATCAGTGAGGAGCAGGAGGAACAGTGAGGAGCAGGAGGATCAGTGAGGAGCAGGAGGATCAGGAGGATCAGTGAGGAGCAGGAGGATCAGTGAGGAGCAGGAGGATCAGTGAGGAGCAGGAGGATCATGTGGATCAGTGAGGAGCAGGAGGATCAGTGAGGAGCAGGAGGATCAGTGAGGATCAGTGAGGATCAGTGAGGAGCAGGAGGATCAGTGAGGAGCAGGAGGATCAGTGAGGAGCAGGAGGAGCAGGATGATCAGTGAGGAGCAGGAGGAGCAGTGAGGAGCAGGAGGAGCAGTGAGGAGCAGTGAGGAGCAGTGAGGAGCAGGAGGAGCAGTGAGGAGCAGGAGGAGCAGTGAGGAGCATGAGGATCAGTGAGGAGCAGGAGGAGCAGGAGGATCAGTGAGGAGCAGGAGGATCAGTGAGGATCAGGAGGATCAGTGAGGAGCAGGAGGATCAGTGAGGAGCAGGAGGATCAGTGAGGAGCAGGAGGATCAGTGAGGAGCAGGAGGAGCAGTGAGGAGAAGGAGGAGCAGGAGGAGCAGGAGGATCAGTGAGGAGCAGTGAGGGGCAGGAGGATCAGTGAGGATCAGTGAGGAGCAGGAGGATCAGTGAGGAGCAGGAGGAGCAGGAGGATCAGGAGGATCAGTGAGGAGCAGGAGGAGCAGTGAGGAGCAGGAGGATCAGTGAGGAGCAGGAGGATCATTGAGGAGCAGGAGGATCATTGAGGAGCAGGAGGATCAGTGAGGAGCAGGAGGAGCAGTGAGGAGCAGGAGGAGCAGTGAGGAGCAGGAGGATCAGTGAGGAGCAGGAGGAGCAGGAGGATCAGGAGAATCAGTGAGGAGCAGGAGGATCAGTGAGGAGCAGGAGGAACAGTGAGGAGCAGGAGGATCAGTGAGGAGCAGGAGGATCAGGAGGATCAGTGAGGAGCAGGAGGATCAGTGAGGAGCAGGAGGATCAGTGAGGAGCAGGAGGATCATGTGGATCAGTGAGGAGCAGGAGGATCAGTGAGGAGCAGGAGGATCAGTGAGGATCAGTGAGGATCAGTGAGGAGCAGGAGGATCAGTGAGGAGCAGGAGGATCAGTGAGGAGCAGGAGGAGCAGTGAGGAGCAGGAGGAGCAGTGAGGAGCATGAGGATCAGTGAGGAGCAGGAGGAGCAGGAGGATCAGTGAGGAGCAGGAGGATCAGTGAGGATCAGGAGGATCAGTGAGGAGCAGGAGGATCAGTGAGGAGCAGGAGGATCAGTGAGGAGCAGGAGGAGCAGTGAGGAGAAGGAGGAGCAGGAGGAGCAGGAGGATCAGTGAGGAGCAGTGAGGGGCAGGAGGATCAGTGAGGATCAGTGAGGAGCAGGAGGATCAGTGAGGAGCAGGAGGAGCAGGAGGATCAGGAGGATCAGTGAGGAGCAGGAGGAGCAGTGAGGAGCAGGAGGATCAGTGAGGAGCAGGAGGATCAGTGAGGAGCAGGAGGATCATTGAGGAGCAGGAGGATCAGTGAGGAGCAGGAGGAGCAGTGAGGAGCAGGAGGAGCAGTGAGGAGCAGGAGGATCAGTGAGGAGCAGGAGGAGCAGGAGGATCAGGAGAATCAGTGAGGAGCAGGAGGATCAGTGAGGAGCAGGAGGAGCAGTGAGGAGCAGGAGGATCAGGAGGATCAGTGAGGAGCAGGAGGATCAGTGAGGAGCAGGAGGATCATTGAGGAGCAAGAGGATCAGTGAGGAGCAGGAAGATCAGGAGGATCAGTGAGGAGCAGGAGGATCAGTGAGGAGCAGGAGGAACAGTGAGGAGCAGGAGGATCAGTGAGGAGCAGGAGGATCAGGAGGATCAGTGAGGAGCAGGAGGATCAGTGAGGAGCAGGAGGATCAGTGACGAGCAGGAGGATCATGAGGATCAGTGAGGAGCAGGAGGATCAGTGAGGAGCAGGAGGATCAGTGAGGATCAGTGAGGAGCAGGAGGATCAGTGAGGAGCAGGAGGATCAGTGAGGAGCAGGAGGAGCAGGATGATCAGTGAGGAGCAGGAGGAGCAGTGAGGAGCAGGAGGAGCAGTGAGGAGCAGTGAGGAGCAGGAGGAGCAGTGAGGAGCAGGAGGAGCAGTGAGGAGCATGAGGATCAGTGAGGAGCAGGAGGAGCAGGAGGATCAGTGAGGAGCAGGAGGATCAGTGAGGATCAGGAGGATCAGTGAGGAGCAGGAGGATCAGTGAGGAGCAGGAGGATCAGTGAGGAGCAGGAGGATCAGTGAGGAGCAGGAGGATCAGTGAGGAGCAGGAGGAGCAGGAGGAGCAGGAGGATCAGTGAGGAGCAGTGAGGGGCAGGAGGATCAGTGAGGATCAGTGAGGAGCAGGAGGATCAGTGAGGAGCAGGAGGAGCAGGAGGATCAGGAGGATCATTGAGGAGCAGGAGGAGCAGTGAGGAGCAGGAGGATCAGTGAGGAGCAGGAGGATCAGTGAGGAGCAGGAGGATCATTGAGGAGCAGGAGGATCAGTGAGGAGCAGGAGGAGCAGTGAGGAGCAGGAGGAGCAGTGAGGAGCAGGAGGATCAGTGAGGAGCAGGAGGAGCAGGAGGATCAGGAGGATCAGTGAGGAGCAGGAGGATCAGTGAGGAGCAGGAGGATCAGTGAGGAGCAGGAGGATCAGTGAGGAGCAGGAGGATCAATGAGGAGCAGGAGGATCAGTGAGGAGCAGGAGGATCAGGAGGATCAGTGAGGAGCAGGAGGATCAGTGAGGAGCAGGAGGATCATTGAGGAGCAGGAGGATCAGTGAGGAGAAGTTAGGATCAGTGAGGAGCAGGAGGATCAGTGAGGAGCAGGGGGATCAGTGAGGAGCAGGAGGATCAGTGAGGAGCAGGAGGATCAATGAGGAGCAGGAGGAGCAGTGAGGAGCAGGAGGATCAGTGAGGAGCAGGAGGAGCAGTGAGGAGCAGGAGGAGCAGGAGGAGCAGTGAGGGGCAGTGAGGAGCAGGAGGAACAGGAGGAGCAGGAGGGTCAGTGAGTAGCAGGAGGAGCAGTGAAGAGCAGGAGGAGCAGTGAGGGGCAGGAGGAGCAGGAGGATCATGAGGATCAGTGAGGAGCAGGAGGAGCAGGAGGATCAGTGAGGAGCAGGAGGATCAGAGAGGAGCAGGAGGAGCAGGAGGATCAGTGAGGAGCAGGAGGATCAGTGAGGAGCTGGAGGATCAGTGAGGAGAAGGAGGATCAGTGAGGAGCAGTGAGGAGCAGGAGGAGCAGGAGGATCAGTGAGGAGCAGGAGGATCATGAGGATCAGTGAGGAGCAGGAGGATCAGTGAGGAGCAGGAGGATCAGTGAGGATCAGTGAGGATCAGTGAGGAGCAGGAGGATCAGTGAGGAGCAGGAGGATCAGTGAGGAGCAGGAGGAGCAGGATGATCAGTGAGGAGCAGGAGGAGCAGTGAGGAGCAGGAGGAGCAGTGAGGAGCAGGAGGAGCAGTGAGGAGCATGAGGATCAGTGAGGAGCAGGAGGATCAGTGAGGAGCAGGAGGATCAGTGAGGGTCAGGAGGATCAGTGAGGAGCGTGAGGAGCAGGAGGAGCAGGAGGAGCAGTGAGGAGCAGGAGGATCAGTGAGGAGCAGGAGGAGCAGTGAGGAGCAGGAGGAGCAGGAGGATCAGTGAGGAGCAGGAGGATCAGTGAGGAGCAGGAGGGGCAGTGAGGGGCAGGAGGATCAGTGAGGATCAGTGAGGAGCAGGAGGATCAGTGAGGAGCAGGAGGAGCAGGAGGATCAGGAGGATCAGTGAGGAGCAGGAGGAGCAGTGAGGAGCAGGAGGATCAGTGAGGAGCAGGAGGATCAGTGAGGAGCAGGAGGATCTTTGAGGAGCAGGAGGATCAGTAAGGAGCAGGAGGAGCAGTGAGGAGCAGGAGGATCAGTGAGGAGCAGGAGGATCAGGAGGATCAGTGAGGAGCAGGAGGATCAGTGAGGAGCAGGAGGATCAGTGAGGAGCAGGAGGAGCAGTGAGGATCAGTGAGGAGCAGGAGGATCAGTGAGGAGAAGGAGGAGCAGTGAGGAGCAGGAGGAGCAGTGAGGAGCAGGAGGAGCAGGAGGATCAGTGAGGAGCAGGATGATCAGTGAGGAGCAGGAGGATCAGTGAGAGGAGCAGGAGGAGCAGTGAGGAGCAGGAGGAGCAGGAGGATCAGTGAGGAGCAGGAGGATCAGTGAGGAGCAGGAGGAGCAGGAGGATCAGTGAGGAGCAGGAGGATCAGTGAGGAGCAGGAGGAGCAGTGAGGGGCAGGAGGATCAGTGAGGATCAGTGAGGAGCAGGAGGATCAGTGAGGAGCAGGAGGAGCAGGAGGATCAGTGAGGAGCAGGAGGATCAGTGAGGAGCAGGAGGGGCAGTGAGGGGCAGGAGGATCAGTGAGGAGCAGGAGGAGCAGTGAGGAGCAGGAGGATCAGTGAGGAGCAGGAGGATCAGTGAGGAGCAGGAGGATCAGTGAGGAGCAGGAGGAGCAGTGAGGAGCAGGAGGATCAGTGAGGAGCAGGAGGATCAGTGAGGAGCAGGAGGATCATTGAGGAGCAGGAGGATCAGTGAGGAGCAGGAGGAGCAGTGAGGAGCAGGAGGATCAGTGAGGAGCAGGAGGAGCAGGAGGATCAGGAGGATCAGTGAGGAGCAGGAGGATCAGTGAGGAGCAGGAGGATCAGTGAGGAGCAGGAGGAGCAGTGAGGATCAGTGAGGAGCAGGAGGATCAGTGAGGAGCAGGAGGAGCAGTGAGGAGCAGGAGGAGCAGTGAGGAGCAGGAGGATCAGTGAGGAGCAGGAGGAACAGTGAGGAGCAGGAGGATCAGTGAGGAGCAGGAGGAGCAGGAGGATCAGTGAGGAGCAGGAGGAGCAGTGAGGAGCAGGAGGATCAGGAGGATCAGTGAGGAGCAGGAGGATCAGTGAGGAGCAGGAGGATCAGTGAGGAGCAGGAGGATCATTGAGGAGCAGGAGGATCAGTGAGGAGAAGTGAGGAGCAGGAGGATCAGTGAGGAGAAGTTAGGATCAGTGAGGAGCAGGAGGATCAGTGAGGAGCAGGAGGATCAGTGAGGAGCAGGAGGATCAATGAGGAGCAGGAGGATCAGTGAGGAGCAGGAGGATCAGTGAGGAGCAGGAGGAGCAGTGAGGAGCAGGAGGAGCAGGAGGATCAGTGAGGAGCAGGAGGAGCAGTGAGGAGCAGGAGGGGCAGGAGGAGCAGTGAGGGGCAGGAGGATCAGTGAGGATCAGTGAGGAGCAGGAGGAGCAAGAGGATCAGTGAGGAGCAGGAGGATCAGTGAGGAGCAGGAGGAGCAGTGAGGAGCAGGAGGAGCAGTGAGGAGCAGGAGGATCAGTGAGGATCAGTGAGGAGCAGGAGGATCAGTAAGGAGCAGGAGGATCAGTGAGCAGCAGGAGGAGCAGGAGGATCAGTGAGGAGCAGGAGGAGCAGTGAGGAGCAGGAGGATCAGTGAGGAGCAGGAGGATCAGTGAGGAGCAGGAGGATCAGTGAGGATCAGTGAGGATCAGGAGGATCAGGAGGATCAGTGAGGAGCAGGAGGATCAGTGAGGAGCAGGAGGATCAGTGAGGAGCAGGAGGGGCAGTGAGGAGCAGGAGGATCAGTGAGGAGCAGGAGGATCAGTGAGGAGCAGGAGGATCAGTGAGGAGCAGGAGGATCAGTGAGGAGAAGTGAGGAGCAGGAGGATCAGTGAGGAGAAGTGAGGATCAGTGAGGAGCAGGAGGATCAGTGAGGAGCAGGAGGAGAAGTGAGGAGCGTGAGGAGCAGGAGGAGCACTGAGGAGCAGGAGGAGCAGGAGGATCAGTGAGGAGCAGGAGGATCAGTGAGGATCAGGAGGAGCAGTGAGGAGCAGGAGGAGCAGTGAAGAGCAGGAGGATCAGTGATGAGCAGTGAGGAGCAGTGAGGAGCAGGAGGATCAGTGAGGATCAGTGAGGAGCAGGAGGAGAAGTGAGGAGCAGGAGGAGAAGTGAGGAGCAGGAGGATCAGTGGGGATCAGTGAGGAGCAGGAGGAGCAGGAGGATCAGTGAGGAGCAGGAGGATCAGTGAGGAGCAGGAGGATCAGGAGGATCAGTGAGGAGCAGGAGGTTCAGTGAGGAGCAGGAGGTTCAGTGAGGAGCAGGAGGTTCAGTGAGGAGCAGGAGGATCAGGAGGATCAGTGAGGAGCAGGAGGTTCAGTGAGGAGCAGGAGGATCAGTGAGGAGCAGGAGGAGCAGGAGGATCATTGAGGAGCAGGAGGATCAGTGGGAGCAGGAGGATCAGTGAGGGGCTGGTGCCCCCCCCCCCGACCCAGAAATGGATTATGGGGAAGAAGTTGGATGTATGATTACTGATTTGACAGAACTCTGTTCAAATAGAAATGTATTCGTCTAGAAGCAGCAGTGAGACTGGGCCAATCACAGCCCTTCAAGCACCGAGCTCTCAACCCAAAACAGAAATGAAATAAACATGAAGAACATGAGTCTTACCTGAACACACCACCCCCAGAACCGGGCCATCAGAGATATCTGAGGCCCATAGACAGTCTCTCACTGCAGACTTCCTCCTCCTCACCACACAGAGCACGGAGATCTCCCTGGCACTAGTCTGTGAACGATCCTCTTCCATAGAAACAACAGATCCACAGTCCAGGTCTCTGCAGACGGCCTCAGTGGAACCCAGGGTCCAGAGGCCTGGTTTATGCACTGGTCTCCATTCTCCGCTCTTTCTGACCTCCACGGTCCCAGCACAGCGACGGGCCCCTCTCATCAGCCTCACCGGCTCTGAACACAGACATACACTGAATATGGGTCTGAACTTGTTAGGTTTGTCAACTACGTTTGATCAAAATGTTATTGGTCATAACAATCCCTCTATTAGGACTTCCATGCCCCGCCCCCTCACCTGAGCCCCACCCCTCTCATCTGAGCCCCCCCCCCTCACCTGAGCCCCGCTCATCTGAGCCCCGCCCCCTCACCTGAGCCCCGCCCTCTCACCTGAGCAGGTGATGTTCACACTGGGTCCAGAGGAGCAGGTCTTGGGTCTGGAGCGGGGACAGTCCATCAGAGCAGACTCATGGCCCTCACAGTGGAACGTCTGCCCCACAGGAGAGAGCGCCCCCTGGAGGACAGAAGGAGAGAGCACCCCCTGGAGGACAGAAGGTGCCCCGCAGTCCAGCTCCCTGCACAGCACCTCTGCTCCCCTCAGGTCCAAGGCCCCTTCACAGACCGAGGTCCAGGACTGGTTCCAGATCTGCAGTGATCCAGAGCAGAGACCAGAGCCTCCAACCAGCCGCACAGACTCTGAGACACAGAGGACTTCATCACAAACATCTGTATACAACAAAACACCTGGATCCAAAACCCAGATACTGGTGAAGGACCAGGCTGAGTCCTAATGAGGCTGAGGTTTCTCACCTGAGCACTTGAGTTCCAGACTCTGTGATGGAGATGATGGATCCTCAAAGCAGTCCATCAGTTCAGTCTCCTTACACTCATATTTGACTTTCACAGATGTTTGTTTAGAGTTTGGTCTTTCCCTCACAGACAGAGCGGAGCCACAGTCCAGAGCAGAGCAGATTCTGGATCCAAACTCCAGAATAACATAAAATGGATCCACTGTAGTCCAGTCCAGACCTGGTCTCTGCAGCTGCACCTCCCCCTGACAGCGGCCGGCTCCTCCCTCCAGCCTCAGACCGAGAGGCCCTGCTCACAGGGACATGGGTTATTACACAGGACCACAACAACACCGAGCTCAGGGACCAGCAGAACCCAGTGACATCCACATGGTGAGGCTTTGCCCTTTGTCAGTCAGAACTCATTCTCAAGTGTGTGTGTCTGTCTTTGTGTGTGTGTGGGTGTCTTTGAGTGTGTGTGTGTCTGTGGTGTCTTTGAGTGTGTGTTACCTGTTGTGTTGCTGTCTCCCAGGACTCCTACACACAGAGAAGTCAAACGTGTCAAAAGGTGTTTCTTGTTTCATATCAATCTAATCATAAACCTTTTTCACGAGAACCAGGTAGCACTTCCTGTTTGCGCCGGTACTATGGAGAAACGGCTCTAATATTTTTGCCAACATTAGTCAGAGGTGAATTCGTGGACAGATAAACGAGAGAAGGGGTCCTGCGATGAAGAATATTTACACAAGTACCAAGGTAAGACGTAACTTAGCAGCTAACAGCTAAGTTAGCGTTAGCTACTACAAACGCGGTCAAAGTCCATTTGGCTGCTGCCTAAGGTTTTCGGTCAAACACAAGAAGTCCAGCTTTACGGTCGACTAGACAACCCGACCATATGTGCCCTTGTGTCTGAGGGAGCGCACGTTGAGGAGACCGAAGCTGACGTTTGGTGGATGCTGTTTCTGCTGCCACAGCGGGCTGAGATCCGATCGTGCCACGCTGACCAGGACACTGTCCACGTCCCGAACCAGCGGCTTTTGTTTCTGTGAGCATGGCGGCTTGCCAAAGCGCGCCAGCGTTCACTCACTGAACCAATATCTGGTTAATACCAGCAGTGCATGAAACTCCAATAAGTCCCAGTTACTAACAGATTAGTTAAGAGTTTTTTGTGATAAAAAACAACAAGGATTACTAACCCTTTTCGTACAACAATAATAAGCCATTAGACATGAATACAGAATATATAATTATCATTTAAATGCATTACAAAGCTAAACAGGGCCATAACAATGAAACCAATCAAAGGCCTCCATATGGCCCCATTACTTAAAAACACATCTTTGCAAAAACAAGCACAAACATACATTAACATTGTGAAGAATGAGGTTTCTATTTAATGGTTGGGGACACTATCGACAGGATACTTATATCAGCTGTGATGCAGATAGGCAGGAGATCACAGTCTGTACATTGTATGCGAGGGAAACATAAACAGACCAAAGGGAAAAGAGTATTAATAATTATTCTATAGCAAAATAACACATTAAACAACCAATAGCTTATGTGATCTAGGGGCACAACCAAACAAACAGAGGTAGCTCAAATGGAAACTGACATTAAATAAGGTTCATGAAATAAATGTCAATTACTAAAGCATAATTAGCTAAATGTAGCATCGTTTAGCTTGATTAGCTGCAACAAACTCAGATCGGAAAAAACTACTCTTAATTGCAAAAAATTAGAAATTAAACCAACATAAATCTACTTCACAAATCGTCTAAAGATATTCACAAAACTACAGAGCATACATCTTAGGGTCATTTAAAATGGCACAAACAATGTACAAATCATGATTGCCCAATAGTTTAAAAAACTATTCTAATCAATATACAAATATGATTTGCATATTTGCATTGAGCCATATTCTAAACATAAATTTTAATCTAATAAATCTCTCAGTGATTACTTCATTATCAGTGGCTTTGAGTCAGTGGATTTGCACTATGTCTATTCATGAATAGAAATTGAACACAGAAAGACAAATTTTAATATGAACATTATTTTGCGTCAGTTTTCCAATACATTTGTTGAACCAGGAAGTGATGTCACTTCCTCCTCTCAGGCAGTTTGGGATGATTGTACATCAATAAATCACAGATGTAACAAACAATCGTACGGGGTCCGCTTTGCCCTTGGCTCGGTACTTTATGTATCCGATAATACCTGGCGTAATATACGTTATCCCGCTTATTAAACGTGCTTTATACCCACAGAACACACAACATAAACTTCAGTCCACTTTTAGTAATCCGAAAGGTTTATTTAATGACAGAGAAAAAAATTAGTTCCCAAAGCACTTCCCTGCTATGCTAAGCAACATTTAGGCTGGCAACTTCCAAACTAAAACTCTCTGAACTGCATGAAAACTGAACCAAAGCATTCTAACAAAGCGTTGATTGACCCAAACAAAAACTTAACCTAAATCCATAATTCGACTACCTCTGCAAATGTTCCTAAACTGTGCCGGTATCTTAAAATTTAGCCGTACACTTCCGGGATTTTTCGGGATCAGCCTTTATCTTGTATACAACATTGTTTTATAGTATGATACCGAAAACTTGGAAAAATTTCTGAAAACTTCCGTGCACTGTAATTAAACAGATTTGTATAAATCACTCTCCGATTAACATTTCATAGCGTTGATAGATTGGCTTTGCGTTATTGAGCGGCCGAACTACTTCCGGGTTTTTCACGATCGCTTTTTGACGCAGAGCAATAGTATTTTAAGTCATGAAACAAACCAGAAAATTCTGAAATCTCCGTGGCACGTGTGTGAAGAATGTATATGTATATAAGTATTCTCCCCGATTAACATTAAGTGTGTTTATTTAGCGTGATAACTCCGCAAGTAGTTTTCTGGCCACTCCGGAGCTAGCACACGCTCAAGACAACACACTTAAATGTTTAATCGGAGAAAAACTTATACATATACATTCTTCACACACGTGCCCGGAGATTTTCAGAAATTTTCTGGTCTTGTCTTCATGACAAAAATACAATTTCTCTGACTCAAAAAGCGATCGTGAAAAACCCGGAAGTAGATTCCTCCGCTCAATAAACGCAAAAGCCAATCAATCAACGCAATGAAATTTTAATCGTAAGATAGAAAAATACACATCCAGTCTAAATACAAGTGACGAAGTTATCAGAATTTTCCGTTTACGTTTTTCATAACAAAAAACACTGATTTTAAAACAAGAAAAGGCGATCCCTCCAAAAACCCGGAATTAGATACCGGCACATTTTAAAGAATACCGCCCATTTTAAGGAACATATGCAAGGATCGAATTATTGATTTAGGTTAAGTTAATGTTTAGGGTCACTCCCGCTGATGTTCAGAATTCTTTGTTCAGCTTTTCATGCAGTTCCAGAGAGTTCTAGTTTGGAAGTTGCCACCTAACTGTTGCTACATAGCCACGGGAAAGCCTTTGGTGAACTATAATATTCTCTGTCATAAATAAACCTTTCGGCATTCCTAACAGTGGACTGAAGTTTATGTTGTGTGTCAGTTGGTATAAAGCGTATAATAATCGGGATAAACGTATATTACTGCAGGCAAGTATCGAAAAATAGTACCGACTGGGAAAGCGGACCCCGACGCGCATGATTGTACATCTTTGATTAATGAAGTACAATCAACCCAAACTGCCTTAAGGAGAAGTGACATCACTTCCTCTGGTTCAACAAATGTATTTGGAAAACTGACCGCCAAAATAATGTTCATATTAACCATTTGTCTTTCTGTGTATCAGTTTTATTCCTTGAAAAGACATAGAGCAAAATCCTCGCTGACACAAAGCCACAGATAATGAAAGTAAACCACAGAGAGATTTATAATATAAAATATAAGTTTAAATAAGGCTCAAAGCAAATATGCAAACATATTTGTACATTGAATAGAATAGTTTAAAACAATAGTGACTGTCACTTGTCACTCATTACATCTACGATTGTTTGTGCATTTTTAAGACCAAGAAGTAAGCACCTGTAGTTCTTGTGAACTTTAGACGAATTTGTGAAGGAAGATTTATGTAGCTAATTTCAAATTATTGCAAAAGAGAGTTTTCCCGATCTGCTTTGTCTGCAGCTAATCAAGCTACAATGCTACAATACGCCTAATAAGGCAATAATTAATATGTCAATTATTTTATTCCTTGAACCATTATAAAGACAGTTTCATTTGCGCTACCTCTGTTTGTGGTTTTCCCAGACACATAAGCTATTGGTTGTTTAATGTGGTTATTTGGCTATAGAATAATATTATTACTCTTTCCTTTGTCTTTTACTGTTTCCTCCGCATACAATGTACAACTGTGATCTCCCTGCAAACCTCAACACAGCTGATAATAGATCCTGTCGAAAGAGTCCCCATACCAAAAATAACCTCCATTCTTCACAATGTTAAAATGTATGTTGTGCATGTATTGCAAAGATGTGTTTTTTAATCAAGGGGCCAATATGGAGGCCTTATGATGGTTCATGTAATGGCCCTGTTATAGCTTTGTAATGGCAATTTAAAAGATAATATATAAATCTGTATTCATGTCTCATGGCTTATAATAAGATGTACGAAGAGTAAGACATCCTTGTGTTTTTTTCTCACAAAAACGCTTAACTAACTGTTATAACTGACATAATTAGTCATGACAGCAGTATTAACCAGTATTGGTCAGTGAGAGAACGCTGCGCGCTTTGCAGCCGCGTCTCACAGAACAAAACGCCGCTGGTCCGGTGACGGCTGACAGTGTCCTGGTCAGCGTGTCCCGATCGGCTCAGCCCGCGGCAAGCCAAGAACAGCTCCACCAACCGTCATCTTCGGTCTCTCAACGTGCGCTCCCACAACGCAACTCCCAGGGCCCATCTGGTCCGGATGTCCTCGACGAACCGTAAGCTATTACTTCATTGTGTTTGACCGAAACCTGGCAGCAGCCAAATGACTTTGCCTGCGTATGAACGACCTCCACTCCACTCGGGGTTTGATTACATCTGCCAGCCCCGCAGCTGTGGCCGCCGGGGCGGA